TTGGTTAATGTGTAAAAAAAAAAAAAAAAAAAAACATGAATATTAGAATTGCAATTTTACTTCTGTTCAGTCAAATGACTATTATTATTATTATTAAATAACGTTACATTATTACTTGTATAGTAAAATAGTGTTATACTAATGTAATGTTTGTGTAATTTAATAAAAAAATAAGACAAAAATAACATTAAGAATAATAATAAAGATGATGACCATTTAAAAAAATTAAAAAAATAAAATAAATAACTGTGTCTAGGGTGATTTCTTTTATATCCTTATGCTCAAATCGACTGTAAATCCACATTTTAAAACTCTCAACGCTCTCATACCACCCTGAGGGTTTGCCAGTTTGCATCCCTGGCAATATATGGATACTTTGTTGATTGCATGCGTGTGAGATTGAGTCCCAACCTTCCTGTGTGATGCAGATAGAACCACAGCCCATTCCCACTCTCAACGCATCCACCCCTGCGTCTATCAGGTTCTTCGCCTGAGCAGCTGTAACCACTACAGAGAGAGACAGAGACTGAGGTTAGAGAACAAGAGTGAGCAACTGTGAAGTATGTGAACTCATGATAGTATTTCAATCCATATTTACCATTCCCTCCCACAACCTGCAGATCTGGGTACTTCTGCTTAATGTAATGGATCACGTTAATCTGGTATACGGAATTGCCTTGTGACGAATCCTGAAAAACAAATAAAAACCTCAATACTGGTGATGCTAGTGGGACTTACCTCACACTTCACCTTTAACAGAAACACCAAAATAGTTTATGACAGTTTTGAATATAGGCCTACATGAAACTGATCTTGGAGATAAGCTCCCTCAAGCAACAGGCAGCATCTGCTTTCGTTTCAGTTTTCAAAACCAATGACTGACAGACTGACATTTCGTTTAGAACAACCGCAGTGGCTTTGACCTACCAAAACCACTACATCCACCCCAGACTGCACGAGCAGGTCCAGACGGTATTTATCGTCTTCACGGGTGCCGATGGCAGCGCCACACAGCAGCTGTTTGCGGGAGTCTTTGGAGGCCAGAGGATAGTCCCTGTTCTTCTTCAGGTCTGTGCGGGCTATTATGGCCACCAGTTCATCCTTGTCATTCACGATGGGCAGTTTACCTGTCGAGTAAATGAATAAAACTCATTGAGACCTTTTAGAATTGTTAAACACTGTATTTTATAGTGTTTCCTGTGGGGGAAAGGGGACTGAAGCACTAAAAGTACAAACTAAAAGAATTTGATATTCAGTTAAAATGGCTGTGATTGTCCAATTAGACCTGATGACTGTAGTCTGTGTTTTGGTGTTCTCACCTTTTTTGCTGCGTTGCAGGATGTCATTGGCTTCTTTTAGTGTGACACCAGCAGGAGCGACTACAAGATCCTCTCTTTTAGTCATGGCCTGGAAAACAATTACAGATGAACAGCCATAAGGGTACAGCATGCCAAGCACTTAAGTAAGTTTAAGTTAAGTTAAGTTTTTTTCTTCTTCATCCAGCAAGGATGCTTTAAATTGATCAAAAGAGACACTATTTAATAATGTAAATAATACATTATGTAAACAGTATGTAATGTAAAAGATTTCTATTTCAAATCACTATTTAAAAAAATATTTTATTTTTTGAGCAGCAAATCAGCATATTAGAATGATTTCTAAAGGATCATGTGACACTGAAGACTAGAGTAACTAATGACTGCTGAATTCATCTTTACCACTACAGGTATAAATTGCATTTAAACTAGTGCTGTCAAACAATTAATCGCGATTAATCGCATTCAAAATAAACGTTTTTGTTTACATAATATAAGTGTGTGTACTGTGTATATTTATTATGTATATATAAATACACACACATGC